GGTAGGCGGCGCAACACCGGTGTGTCACGAACGTCTGAGTGACACTGCAACTGTTATGGACAAGCTTGCGTCAATTGATGTTATGAAAAAAAAATCCTTTTCACCACGATATAGCTTGGCATCCATTCGAGATGTACGAGCCAACGGAGTCTTGCGGACGTGATTTCTCCGATGATGTTGGTTTCAGAGACGATGACCTCCAGCTCCTGGATCCAAATCTAAAGTGCTGAAACGAAATTCAATCAATCATCTGATGTGCATTCCAGTGATATTTCTTAATAAAGATAATGGACTTAAGTAAGACCTTAATCGATCCTGGCCTTGAGATGAATTTATTCATTAACACGGACCTTAATTACGTTCTATAAGGCGGAATTCTGCCGTAAGAGAAAATAAAAAACATTTTTTTTTTAAATACATTGTGTTCATAAGGGCGGTAAGTAGACAATTAGAAACAGGGGGCTTTAATGGCCCGACACTTGTAATTGCTGTTCCGTCGGTGTGGTATAGGTACAATGTTTTTCTTTTTTTTAAATAAAATGTAAGTGCGCATTTGACCTCTGTCTCACCTGATGGAAAGTGATGATGAGGTCAACAATGGAGCATGCACACCTAAATAATGACTATACACTTTCACCTTGAAAAGGTCCAAGTTATAGCGTTCGGGGAATAAGTCCGTAAGTAGGGAATTCCACTCCATAGCCGTTCGCCATATAAATGGTAGATGTAACGTAGATGTAAACGGGACGTAGGCTAGGGTTCCACCCCTATGATGGTGATGTAAACGGGAAGGCGGAATTAAATCGTGTAATTCCATCGCACACTCTCCGTGATATATCCTGTAAAATACCGATAAGCAGGCAACTTTACGGCGGTGTTCAAGGCTCTGCAGCTTCGCCTCCACTAATTCCGAGTCACCTGTGAGCCCCTTGGTACGGTTGTCAATTGAATCCAAGGTGGCCAGTTGGTATGTGGCAGGGCTATCCCAAAGGTGGTAACAGTACTCCATTCATGACCCGACTTATGCTTAGTACAGCTGAAGCAACTGTCCCCAAACAACACAAACAAAACATTACACTTGCAACGAACAAAAGAAGAAGACTGAAAGAAAATACAATTTAAATATTACAATATTGAGAATTTAAATATTTTAAACCATCCATGTATATTGATGAAGTTTGAAAATTTGTCACACAGCTTGTACAATTATTTTAACCATTATTATTTAATCCACGCTCAAAAAGAAATCCAGATAGACTTGTCGTTGAAAACGTACCTAAAACTACACTTGAAAAGTTCATACCACACGTGCATGAAAATGTATAATAGACTACTAATTTAAATAAAAAATCTGACATTGAAAAGCATGACAATTGGACTGCATATAGGCCTAACTAAAAAAGGATATTATAGTGTAAATGACTACTTAGTAGAATACATTTTGCATGCTTTTGTATAATGGCTGAATAAATGAACTCTATGTAATAACTACCATCCTGTAAAAACCTATTCAATGTAAATAAACCTCATTTAATTTACATTAATTTGACTATCATAAATGACATCAGCGTGACACAAGAATAAGCCTCTAAAGCTTTCTTATCCGCTTTCGCTGTGTTCGTTACATCTGTTTGCCAAGTTTTATCGAAATTGGTTAACGGAAAGTGGGAGAAATCCAATAAACCAGATTTATCCCCTAATTTGCTACCCTTAGAGGTGGAGTATTTTCTTTTAATTAAATGGAACCATTACGGAGGTATTCACATTCCAACAAAAAAAGGAATGATCGAAATCGGTTTATAAAATTAAATGTCAGAGTGTACACACACACACAAACAAAAGTTACAGTCCAGAATAGTATCAGTTCGGCCACTGACGCAGTAAACCGTTGTATGGAGTGTCCGGGGTGTGCGGAGTGTGATGAAATAATACATTGTTTTAAAAAGGCGGTAAGTAGGAAATTTTAACAGAAAGACATTCAAAGCCTATGAGAAAGCTTTAATGGTCCGTATGTTTGTAAGTACTACTCCGTCCGGGTGTTAAGAGGTAGTTAAATGAATGTTGGCCTCTCAAAAAGCTGGTACAAAATAGAATACAAAGCGCGGAAATGAAAATGCTAAGATGGGCGGGCGACGTTACAAGATTAGACCACGTCAAAAATATACACATCAGAGGCAGTTTTAAAGTGAGGCCTATCTTTGAAAAGTTGCTAGAGAGCCGACTTATATTGTTATATTATATATGTTATGCGACCACCGCCTGATCAAATGACAAGGAAAGTTCTTGACATAAGTGCCCAGCGCCCAGTAGTGGAATGTATAAATGGGATATAACAACAAATAATTAATTTAACTTGGTATAATAATATTCTATAAGAGGTATAAACAACAAAAGGCATAATTCCAGTGTGTACTATTAAACCTTCAGTATAACAAACATTAGATATAATGATTAGGTAACATAATGTACTAATGGTAAAAGTATTACCAGTATAATGTATTAAATAATATAAGACTTTATTTCGTTTTACAAATAGTTGAAGCGCTTAAGTGAATTAATTAGCAAAAGAAAGAATGAAGAATGGTTAATTGCATGTCAAAAAACAATACACATCAACTCATGTCCATCAAAAATAACGTGTTCCTATTAAAATAATAAAATATCTTCTGATTTCGCATCCAAACTTAATATTGGCGCTTCGCCGGCCGCTGCCGCGGCACGCTCACGCACCGTTATAGTCGCAGTACTAACCTAGGGGAAGTATCAGGGGGCCTTTTTTTTCTTTCCGGGGGAAAATCCGTCATGGATATCACCGCGTCACGTGGAGGCGCGGTGGTTATGTGAGACTCCTACTCACTAAAAATCCCCGGGTATGCCCACACTCCTCGTGGAACAGGGCTGTGGCCACGTGGTTTACGATCCACGGCCCCGCCTGCGGACCCACCTCTGGGAGACTTTATCGTCCCCACTCCGTCGTTAGTGGCATGCCGGGAATACTTGGCGTGCCAACCAACCCGTGAACCCGTGCCCAGTAAGTGACAAAGCCTCCGTTTTGCCACTCAGGGTTCACTGTCAGGGCGGCAGTTGGCCTATTGAAACAATATTACTTTAACATTACATTAACTTTTCGTACCATGACAAGTTTCAAGTAAGCTTATTATAATGTTAAAACTATAATGTTTTATTGGCAGCTTTGTGACTATTCAATTCACTCAGTTCGCACTATGACGACTTTAACAATGAAGTAATATTGTTCTTATGTCAAATTTAGCAGTCTTAAAATAATTACACGGATGCAATGGAAACGATATTATTTTCAGTTTTATTGTCTTAATATTGATTTGTAATGATTAAAAGTTAAGTTGAACTTATTTATTTACACATATCTCTTCAATATTTTGTTTATTTTTTTATTTAATAGTACATAGGAAATATTTCGTTAAATAACAATATGCGATATATGCTCCTTGGCGACAGTAACGGTTGACACTAAACTATAATTCCGAATTCACAACGTGACAATCAAGACTTGTTTTATTTATTTTTCTTCATGAAAATGGGGAAAAATAATTGAAAACAACGTAATTTTAATAGATTTATTATTACATACTTGTCTTTTTTTTACAGTTAAAATTCTCTGAAAGTAAATAACATTGAGTACTTAAACATTATCTACGATAAGACGCTTCGGAACATCAAAAAATAATAAGGTGGCATTATATAGTCCATATTGCGTTATTTCTTTCCTATTTTTAGTAAGGAATATACAATATTGGGAAATCATTCGTTCTTTCAATCAATTTAGCAATAATACATTACTTGGTTGACAGGTTTGTCATGGTACCAATATGAGTAATATTGTAATAAGCTTACTTTAGGCTTACATTGAAATAAGATTGTTTTTGGGATGGTTATGGTAGGCCCCCAGTTCTATAATATTATTTATATGTGTTTTCGAGCCTAATACTCCTCTCTTCGCTAGTAATTGCATCTCATAATCATTATACGCAGTGGATGCTTTAATAATATAATAATAATAATGTATTTATTTCTCTCCACAAACATAACAACTGAACATGGACAAAAGAAAGATAGACAAAAATAGTGTTTATATTATGTTTGTAAAAGACTGGTACCTAAACTAAGCATAGCTTGTAATATAGGATACCAGGTCTCTCACCACAGACAACTTACACTTTCTCTTAATACTATGATTGCAGCGGTTAAAATTAAGTTTAAGATGAAGGTTATACAATAATGAAAAAGAAAATCAAAGTTAAATACATATGTGAACTAACTAAAACTAACAATACAGTTTGACAGTTTGTAAAGTATGTGTGGGAGTGTGTGCGCGTGTGTGAGTGTGGTGTGTGAGTGTGGTGAGTGGTGAGTGTGTGTGTGTGTGTGTGTGTGTGTGTGTGTGTGTGTGTGTGTGAGTGTGTGTGTGTGTGTGTGTGTGTGTTATATCTGAAATATTTATATAAAATGAACATTATGCCATCGGTATATTAGACTGATTATATCAATCGTCTATTGTACCTAGTGACCTTAATATCATGCAAGAATACGTCAAATGTCTGTATACCATAATTAATTATATCCGTTGAGCGTTATATCGACTAAAAATATGTCATTTGTTGATAATATGGCGTCTATTGCATGTACCTTATGAAAATAAAAAATATAATAAACCTAACTGTATTTTATATTAATCTTATTAAATGAAAAAGTTCAATGCTTTTGAGTCGCAGAGCGAATTTAGCAGTGTGGGCGGCGGAAGCCTAATTATTATAAAAAAAATTACCGCCCTATGGTCGTTTAATAAAAATACCGCCTACACTTTATACTAGTACTTACAACGAATTACGATAAAAAAAATATTTCTGAAGAATTTGAAAGCCCCTCTCTTCGTAATTCCTCCCTTAAAACACAATGTACTATGACGCTTTATTATCTTAGAAATCGTCTATTATTTTCTCAACCGTTCATTTCTTGTCCAGGTTCCCTCTGTTTCTGATGATGATAGCGTACTGCCAAATCGTACGCGTCCTGTGGAGGTCGGACAACATCCCTGGCCATATGGAGTCCCACAAGCTCTGCTCTACGCCTTCTGGACAGAATAACTGTAAGTTCCAAATTTGATATTTCCTTTGTGCTTTTAAGTCCCTGATGAAGGTAATACTTGACAGATAAGGTAAAAAGTATTGCTGTTCTTTTCACTCTGTGTTAATTTGTAAAAGATGGAAAATGGGGTGTTAAACAATCGACACCTAAACCATAGTTTAACGGCATACATTAGGTAACTGTTTACTTCCGCGTGTTAATAAATAACCATGAAAGTTTTGAATCAATGTATTTCTGTAATGGTAAGAGCGGTTACACACGGGCGCGATTTTAAGCAACGATACAAACGCGATGCACGTTTTAAATTAATAAACTAATTTATTTATTTATTTAACGTAATTAATTTCATTTTTAAATTTACAATTAACCAAACAAAATAATGTGCATAAATCTGAACAGATTTTTTTTCAACTTAGGCGTTTGAATCGATGCAATCACGCGTTTATATAGTTTCTGCGCTTACGCCTATAAATCACAAGTGTAGCGATGCAATCGCGTGTTTCACAAACACGCGTTAATATCTTTGCTGAACGTCGCCGTCAGTAAGAGCCAGTTTGAGTAATTTGTTTTAAAAGACATTGAATAATTTGTGATGGAAACTTTTTCTTAAGTTTCACTTTATCAATGTCAATATCAGGCCTGCCAGATACGTTTAGTAAAATACTCTAAGTACATAATCTAACTGTTTAGTAATATTGGTAAAGTTTGTAAGAAAATAATATTTTGCGTCTACCAATTTCGAGTTAACAACAATGTACTCGGAATTGGTAAAAGATTTATTATTATACTAGTTTAGCGTAGATTATAGATATTTCTGGAAAGTTCTTTTGAGACGTTTCGACCTTAGTATGTTTAACAAATATCAAAAGAGATTTAAAAGGCAAATGCTGTTTAAAATGAATATCTGTCGGGAGTATCCATTTCTGTTGTTAATAACTGATTCCGTGGCCGAACGGTTACCGTGGGTTCTATTCCCAGGCCAAGAAAAATATTTATATGAACTTATTTATTTCTCTCATGTGTTTGAGTGTAATTTGTGGTTATGTATGTGTATGTCCATGGCATCTAAGATACAGGATTTTCCTTAGTGAGATGAGTGTATTGTCATTATTTATTTTTATTACTATTATGTGTTATTAGTTTAAATTTGAAAAAAGCGACCTTTTCGCTTAGTGACAATGTTAGTTTCGAAGTGCTATTTATTAGTGGTAGGTCAACGACCTTGAATACCCAAAGACTCTGTTTATGCCTACACTGCTAAACACTAGCGAGAATGGCATCTGAATGCTGACTAGAACTCTAACGGATATTGTGCTTAAATAAACATGTACAACATAAAAAGAGAACAGAGACTGTAGATCCTTCCTTAGACAGTGCTGTGCTACTTAATGGACACACGACTACGCTACTGGGCAAGTACAAACCTCAACTATAGAAGACCAAAAACATCGAATCCTGGAATATCCTTTAGTTCTTTAATACAGTTGGTCTTCGTGTTATAATTTGTGGTGATCATATAGTTACTACTATATTACTAAGCTATCAGTGCTCATTTTACCTGCAGATCAAAGTCAAAGTAAGCAAATTACATTTAAAATCTTTTTTTTTATATAAAAATATAACTGCGCATTGACCTCTAAACATAAACTGTTTAAAAGTTTCAATTCAGTCCAACGACCTGCCGGGTTAACCGCGTAAGGCAATATACAACTCGTAGATTCTGTCTTTACGTGTACCCGTTGAAACCGCAGTTTCTAATAATTATTTGTCCAAAGTTTAACATTTAATTTGTAGTAACAGTGGTTTAAATGGCAAGGGTGCTGGTGAATTTACAGACACATGGGGCTTGTCAACTTATGTCTCAGGGTAGTGGGCGCAGTGGCAATGCTCCTCAGATCTTTGCGATTTAAAGATCGGAGTGGCCTTGCAACTGCTAAGGACAGAAACGACTTGTTCGTCCCGTCATTTGATATTATTAAAAAAAAAACCTAACGTAACAATGTCTATAGTATCTAGTGTCGGGTTTGAAATACCTACACTTTAATTTCTTTTGGTGCATTAAAATATATCACTATCGTTTGGATCTAGCTGGATTTAAATCACCCTCTCTTAACTATTGCAAATATTCCAAGGGCTAACGGTGAACCGTCGCACAACGCCATCTATCCACGCAAATGCATCAACTGAGGGCCAGCTGCGCTCGCGCCGTAAAGCTGCTAAGATGCTCGTCGCTGTCGTCATCATGTTTGCAGTTTGCTACTTCCCTGTGCATCTGTTGTCTGTACTAAGGTAATTTATATAGTTTGAGACTGTTATAAAGTAATGCTTAACATACTGTTAATTTATCCGCTCACGCGATACATGCAGCCGTAGACGCATACCACACCTAGAGGTGCCGGTGATGATTTTATACCGATTTATCGGATATCGAAGTTATAACAGGTAAAAGAACTAATACTAATTGCTATTTCGGTAACTACTCTAGCAAACCATACAGTTTTTAATGCCTGGGTCTGTCATTTAAAAAAAATAAACAACTTCAAAAATAAGTCACGACAATCGTGTGTGTTATTGTTTAGGCTGGTGATTGTGGTGTATATTTATTGAAAACATACCGTAAATAGCGTTTTTTAAGTTTACCCTGAATATAAATGTTTATAAACTATACTTTAAGGAGTAATTTCATGGTAAACGTTAGAACCACTCAAACGGAATATTATCATATTTATCCAAGTACACCAAAAATTTCATTAGTGCTTTTTAAGTGCAGGATTTGCGGTGTATTACTGCATTTTATTTGAAATGTTTTTGTTGTAGTACGGAGGGTATTTATTTAGCAATGCAGAATAATAATCTTTATTTATACAAACTTGTATTTAAACTGAATCCTTTTCTAATTTGCGAAACCAAATAGCCGCCACTTTGCGGTAGGATGAGCGCATCGCGTGAGCGGTTAAAATAGTCTCAATCAGTCCGTGTGGCATGGTTAACACACGGTGGCGGTGTTGATTTAGATTCGAAGTGACAGTTGTCACAATTCAATGAAACATTGTCATGCAACCGTACACTGTATTTCATTCCACTCTAGCCTTTTGTTTAACGTTCGGTGCTCTGAACACTAAAGAGGCATCCCGGGTACAATTACTTAAAGGTCAGGAAACAAGTAATTGTTTAAACCCATCGATTTTCATCATTCGATACCTTTGGCAGTTCCGGAAATTGTACGGGGAATTTCCTTCGTTACGACCAGATAATTAACGTGATCATCCGAAACGTTTTCTTTCGGGTATTTATTTATTGTTGTTGTGTACAGGGTAGCCTACTCCGTCGAGCAGACCCATGTGATGACGTGTATTGCTCTCATCTCACACGTGCTCTGTTACGCCAACTCTGCCGTTAACCCTCTTATATACAACTTCATGAGTGGTAAGTATTTCTCCGTTTTTCTCTTCTATAGCTTTTAGTTATTTATTTGAATTTTTTTCCTAGGTTTGCAGACGTGCCTTCTAGTTAGGTCAGAGGGTTAGATACTCTTCCATATAGCTTGAAATCTCATTTGATCTTCGATAATGCTTAGCTTAAAGAGTGTAGCAGAATCTGAGTGCTCATTAAGTGTGTTATTTTTCCTGTCTATATATTCGTTAGGTTTAAGTTACATTCCAGTTATAACTTTATCATCACACTTGGTCTTAAGTATATTTTTATCTTAGGGCCGTAGTGGTTATTTATTCACGTAAATTTAAAAGATTTTTTATTTCAGTTCAAGCAGAAAGTTTTAATATATTGCTATTACAAAAGATTGCGTTTGAGATATTTAACATTTTGTAAATATAATATGACTAAACTGTAACGTTTTAAGGTCTAATTTTTCTTTTTTTTTACTTCTCCGCAAGTGTGATGAATAACATTGTGCACCACACGCACAGAACAGCAATTACAAACGGTTGGGTCGTTTCAATCTGTCCCTCCGTTCGTAATTGCCTCCTTACCACGCTTGTTACAAATATACTATATAACAAACTTTCGTCTACGCTCTAAAGTCATTTCGTCATCCCAAAACGTTGTTCGTTTAGTAATACTAACCTTCAAAATTAATATCTTCAAATTGATTTCACTTTAAAGTTAGTCTTGATTCTGTAGAAGTTCTAAAAGGCTTGGAATTTCAATATTAGATTTAAAATTATATCACAAACATAACATTCCAATTAAACATCAAAACTTCCCAATATAATAAATACCCTGTTAAGGTATCTCTACTGGCGAAAGTCCATAGAAATTTCGGCCAATTTGTGGACTCGAAATTTGTTACTAATTTCATTAATTGTTTATTGCTTATACAATGTAATGTAAATATATAAAGCTATCACAATAATTAGCTTTATATGTGATGAACATGGAGCTCTAGTCAAAATAGAAAATCATTTTGAATATGAAACTATTATGTAGGATCAGACCTAAGGATATTTAAAAAAGTGACAAAGATCAACCTAGGTTTATTTTACTGGATTTACAAATTAAATAATAAACCATTCTACCACGAACAACTATTTGAACTATCAGACTAAGTCCGAAGCCTAGTAAGCGCCGCACCACCAGAATGGTCGTCCCTTCTTCTGTCTGCTACTCTCCTCGTTGCAACTCAGAGTATGATGAAGTGAAAAATCACCACCTCCTGAGCTTCTAGTTAATATCATTTTATCGGATCTAGTATCGCGTGATTGTTCTTATCAAACAAACCAAAATTCCAATTGCTTTGTGACTAACATCGTTGCAATCAGCCGGGACCTGTAAAGAGCTCGAAGCGATAGTTTGTTTGAAAAAACGAATATACGCAATATAGAAAAGTTTTATTTCCAATGTGTATATATAAATCTCCGCGTTTACGCGCCGCAGTCGCGCTGTAGTGAATCGATTCAAACCCGCGCAAATATCGCGTTACCAGCAAAAAGCGTATATATTCCATGGGAGTTCACACTTACAATTTCATGTAGTTGCTTCATTTCAAAAACTAACGAAATTAACAAACAAAACTAAAATTAAAACTATCTCGGTCGGCGCGTATAAAATACGCCGTGTTTTTACTCATACACCCATTTGAGACTAGTCACACTTTCCACTTATTGACTTCACTCAGGACTTAAGTCCTACGGCTCAAGGTTGTTATTAAGTTTTAATCAATCAAGTGAAGGGTCTTGATTACTGGAGATGGTATCATCCCCGACATCAGTGATTATAGTATATACATACATATATAAGAGCTTGGGTTGCGTCTTGAGGTAGCCCCAAGAATGCTAATTTAAATGTCGATAGAGGATGAGAGGATATGGATTTTGTATGTTTGGTACTCTTCTAAAAGTTAAGAGAAGAGCAACACTCAAACAAACCCTTTAGGTTTAAGAGTGCAGGCGCAGTGGCAGTCATATCCTTGCAATCTAAGCTTTGAGGGGCATTGCAGCTGCTATAGAGGGGCGTGTCGTTACCACTAGACGCACAATTTGTTCATCCCGTCTTTTGGTATAATATAAAATACATTACACCTAATACTGTCGAAGTGCACGTGAGTAAATTTATAATATACTCGTACTTTAGGAAATGAAAGTATTTTTCCGGATTTCAATTGTTTTTCAAACAAACCGACGTTTTGGGCCCTTTACAGGCCCCACTGTTGACTGAGGTGGTACAGTCATCAACCAGTTATGTCTAATATTAATGCAAATCCCACTATTTTTTCACTATAGTTACAAAAGTTATTAATTAAATACCTTATTGTTCATTTTACAAAGAACATTCAAGGCTACATTATGTTTTGCAAATTATTTTATTTTAACAATATAGTTTTTTATTGAGTTAAATTTATTATTAATTAATGTTGGAAATTAGAGTAAATTAAAACATATTAATTAGTACTGCAGTCTTATGTCTGTTTGGGATTTTTCACCAGAGGAAATACTGGATCCCAAACTGGTGGTACGGAGAAACCATCTTCCATGTTGAAATTAAAAAACATCCTAATTGCTACCGGCTAGATAGTTTCTCCATTAGTTTCATTAATAGTTTCAGTCATATCAAATAGTTTCAAACTCAATACTCGTACTTTCCTTGGCGCCTATGCATTTACGCGCGTATGTATCGCGCATTTTGATAAAAGATAGTTTTAATTTTAGTTTTGTTTGTTAATTTCAGTTAGTATTTGGATATGAAGCAACTACATGCGATTCTAAGTGTAAACTGCGTGGAGTATATAAGCTTCTTGCTTGCAACGCGATGTTTGCATGCGTTTGAATCGATTCACTATAGCGCGTCTGAGGCGCATATACGTGTGGCGCACTATAAGTTTCCGGAATGAATAAGAAGATACTATAAATGGTCAGAAATGATTTTATTGTTTCTCAAAATATTCTCCGTAATGCACTTTGCACGCGCGTCACTTTGGTTGGTTTCGGCTCATCTAAAGACCCACACGCTCGATTGATGCTTTGTTTTGGGATCGTAACTATAAATCCATATTTCGTCACCTGTTACTATATCCCACACCAAATTTTACGCCCCTTCGTTGAATCTGGTAAGCATGGCATTGCACCAAGTGACGCGATCCGTTTTTTAAACCTCAGTCAAATTGTGTGGGATCCACCGAGAGCACAGCTTTTTCACACCCAAATGTTTGTGTAGTATTGATTGTATTTGACTCATGCCAAAAAAGGGGTTCGATTCTCATGATATGTCACATGCCTGCCTATTTTGATTATACGGCGCACAGCATCGATGTTTTTGTTGTTCACAGTAGTGGGCGGGCGACAATCACGAAATTCGTCACTGAGATTCACACGACCGCGTTTGAATTTTGCAAGCTAGCTGTAAATAGTCGTCTTGCATAGTGCTTCATTTAGAAAAGCAGTCTGAAGCCCAGCGAAGCTCCGCTGAGCTGTTGAACTACAATTAAAGTCGTAGAAAATCATACTACGAAAATTTTCACGGTGATATAGACAACCAATTTCTAAAATGACGCCACAATGTAAAAACAAGTGACAGTCAGATGAAACAAACTGTATTCTACAGCCAAAGAGTTCCATTTTCAAATGTTGTAATTACTTTTTAAATACTATTTACGTAAGTGGCCAGTTCCGGATAGTGCGCCCTATGTACGCGCACATGACACGCGTTCAAGGCGCGTAATAAAATACGCCTTGTCTTATGTTTTTTTTAGTGGGCACTGTGAAAATACACTTATTTTGTTACATGTCAACGTCTGTACATCCTGTGTTTAAACCGTATCAATAAAAAAATCCTTTATATTTTAACATCTAGGTCACCTATTAACATCTTCCTCTTTTGTGGCTTTTGTGCCTAATTTCCATATTCGTTCAATACCATAGATGTAATCCGTTTGAGAACGTGATTGCTTCCTTTTGGGGGATGTCACATTAAAATACCGACGCCTTCAGGATCATCTACCGAAAACGATTCCAGCGTTACACTCCAGGACTGGGCAAACATATTTTAAATATATGAGGATGCAATTTACAATTAACTGCCTCCGTGGCCGAATAGTTGCCATGCTGGTTTACCACGCAGAGGTCCTGGGTTCGATTCCCGAGCCGGGAGGAATATTGGTACGGCTTATTTATTTCTCTCGTGAGTTTGGGTGTAATTTGTGGTTATCTATGTGTGTGTCCACGGCATCCGCGATACAAGGTTTCCCTAGTATAGGGTATAAGTGCGTTATTATTATTTATATCATCTTTTTGGCAAAAATAAGTTTTTTACACAAGAATGTTTATGAAGTACTAACCACGTCCAAGGACTAACTATATTACAAACATCGTAAACAACAAATTTTCTTCCGTGACTTAACAATCCATCACTTTTTACTTCCATACTAAAACATACTTTTTAAATAGATCGCTTTAGATATAGATACCTCTGTGAAGTAACAAAAGACAGCGCTAGCGTGAATACCAGTCCGATGCAAAATGCAGGAGGCGGAGGTCGGGGAGGAAACTTGGTCGTTTGAACATACTACCTTACTACCAAATACAGTCGCGAAACAAAGGTTGTTGTTTATGATATTGGTAATATAGTCCTGGGAGGTGGTTAGTACTGTACAAATAACCCCGTAGAAGCTGAAACACGAATACCCGTTTGTAAACAATGCGCTCGCAACGTACCACGCACGCTACTTGTATGCTCGCGTCGGGAACAGTTTTTCGGGTAACACGAGTAGCAAACCGTGCCTAAATAGAATACACCACGAAAGTGTGAACAATAAGTTGACGTTAGCACTCGTACACGAATGTTTCGTCAAATTTTATGAAGAGTAACGAGCACGATTGTGTAAAATCGAGTATTTTACCAGAAATAGAGACGAAATGTTTTTTAATTTCTTTGAAAACTAATCTGCCAAACCATTACGGTGACAGCTGCGCTCC